ACAAGACACATAAAAAAAAAATTGTAGATGGCATATTTTGGTCGCAATAGGGCAAGAAAGTCTGGCAAAAAAGAGGCGTTGACAGAGCAAGCATTGTAGGAGGTCTGCTCCACCTGAGCTGTCAGGTGGGAGTTGCCACAAATATATTATTACCTATATATTTCAATGTTTTTGGTTTATTTTTTTCTTAATTTTTTGCAGTAATATTATTCAATAGTGTGTATTGTGATATATTTATAAAATAAAATGTGTGAACCATTGCTATATACCATTGCATTGCCTGATATTGTTACATATTTAAGTGATGGTGTGTTCATAAGCCAAACAGCGGTGCTGTTAGCTTATGCTGCATGCACCAGCTTTGGTTGCTCACTCATTACTGAGGCTCTCACAGGAATGTTATCCACAATTTTTTTCCAAGATGGAGTCTGTTTACTATCGATCCTGGCTGGACTATAATTGCCCCTATCCCTCGCGGGGCATTTAAAATCATGTGCTAGACCCTCAATCGTAAATGTACGATGTGCGCCATTCTGCGACAGTTACTCCCATCGTATATGTATGTATTGCCCCATTTAAGAGTTAATATAAGGGCTGGTTTTATATTTGCAGTTAATTGAATGAGGTCTTACTTATCATTGGGATAAGCTAGCTTAGTGAGCATCTGTCTGATGATATGGTGATTGTTCTTTGTCTATTCTGATAGATATAATATTATCATTAAAGTTTGTTTCTGTTCTAATCAGTTCATGCACTACACTGGAGCAGTTCTCACCTTCTTGTTCTTCAGGCAGATCAGCAGAACTGATGATGAGCAAATAATGGAGTTTTTGTTGATTCCTGTTGTCTTGAGAACATGAAACACTTATGAATTCATTACTACCTACTTAACTTCACATGCTGTATTGCATATTAACTCTTAAACTGCGCAACACAACAATAGCTGTGGTGAGTAACTATCGCAGAATTGTGCACCACAGCTATTGATGTGTTGGATTACCGCGCAAGATTTAAAAGTCCTGCGGCTACACGGGGTTTATATCTGCTTCCTCAGGGCTCTTGTAAACAGACTCCATATAAAAGAAAAATTGTGTGCAACATTCCAAGGTGTGAGAGCCTCAGTACTGACTGAGCAACCAAGGCTGGCGCATGCAGCATGAGCTAACACCATTGCTGTTCAGCTTGTAACTACAGCATCACCTAAAAATGTAAAAATTTACATGTAACTGGTATTATTTAGCAATGATAGTATTACAGAAGACCCCTGACTGATAAAAATGACCAGGATTCTGATAATAGCAGGATTGTTGTGATAATTAGCTCTGTGCGTAGTATTGTGGGAGGAGTAATGCTGAGGGAGGGAGATAATGTTGTTTGCTAACTGTGTGGCCACCTATTATTGTCTGCACTCACCATACCAGCTCAGTGGTTCTCTGTGGTGAAGACAAATGTAGATACTTATATATAATGTGTGTATTAGTGTAATAACAACTAAAGGAGTATGTTGGGAGGAGTCATTTTGGTGAGGGAGAGGCATCATCTGCATGACTTGTCATGCTATGTAGGGTGGACACTATGCCCTTTGGGCACCATACCAGCTTAGTTGTACAGTTATGGTGAATAAAACATGTAGATACTTATATAGCGCACCACTTGGTTTCCGAACCCCTTGAGGACGAGACCCGTCAGTTATCATGTACGTTCGTAAATGAGAAATGGAGGAAAATGGAGAGAAAAACCAAAACCTGTGTTGGTGAGTGTATTAATATACCTGAGTCTTGTCTCCCTTTACTCGTAACCTTTGTGTACCTGAGTCTTGTCTCCCTTTATTCGTAACCTTTGTGTACCTGAGTCTTGTCTACCCTTACTCATAACCTTTGTGTACCCGAGTCTTGTCTCCCCTTACTCGTAACCTTTGTGTACCTGAGTCTTGTCTCCCTTTACTCGTAACCTTTGTGTACCTGAGTCTTGTCTCCCTTTATTTGTAACTTTTGTGTACCTGAGTCTTGTCTCCCCTTACTCGTAACCTTTTTGTACCTGAGTCTTGTCTCCCTTTACTCGTAACCTTTGTGTACCTGAGTCTTGTCTCCTCTTACTCGTAACCTGTGTACCTGAGTCTTGTCTCCCCTTACTCGTAACCTTTGTGTACCTGAGTCTTGTCTCCCCTTACTCGTAACCTTTGTGTACCTGGGTCTTGTCTCCCCTTACTCGTAACCTTTGTGTACCCGAGTCTTGTCTCCTCTTACTCGTAACCTTTGTGTACCTGAGTCTTGTCTCCCTTTATTTGTAACCTTTGTGTACCTGAGTCTTGTCTCCCCTTACTTGTAACCTTTGTATACCTGAGTCTTGTCCCTTCGTATTCTTAACCTTTGTAAAGAACTCAAAGAAAGTTTTTAATGTCTTCATCAGCGAGGTTCCTAATTCCCAGGATTGTCTTTGTCTTTGTCATTCTTCTCTGTTCATAAGTTTGTATGTTCAATACTGAACTGTTGTGCTCTGTGATGTTTGTCAGGTTATTAACCCAGCTCTGTGATGTTTGTCAGAATATTAACCCAGCTCTGTGATGTTTGTCAGAATATTAACCCAGCTCTGGGATGTTTGTCAGAATATTAACCCAGCCCTGTGATGTTTGTCAGGTTATTAACCCAGCTCTGTGATGTTTGTCAGAATATTAACCCAGCTCTGTGATGTTTGTCAGAATATTAACCCAGCTCTGGGATGTTTGTCAGAATATTAACCCAGCCCTGTGATGTTTGTCAGGTTATTAACCCAGCTCTGTGATGTTTGTCAGAATATTAACCCAGCTCTGGGATGTTTGTCAGGTTATTAACCCAGCCCTGTGATGTTTGTCAGAATATTAACCCAGCTCTGTGATGTTTGTCAGGTTATTAACCCAGCTCTGTGATGTTTGTCAGAATATTAACCCAGCTCTGTGATGTTTGTCAGAATATTAACCCAGCTCTGGGATGTTTGTCAGGTTATTAACCCAACCCTGTGATGTTTGTCAGGTTATTAACCCAGCCCTGTGATGTTTGTCAGGTTATTAACCCAGCTCTGTGATGTTTGTCAGGTTATTAACCCAGCTCTGTGATGTTTGTCAGAATATTAACCCAGCTCTGGGATGTTTGTCAGGTTATTAACCCAGCTCTGGGATGTTTGTCAGGTTATTAACCCAGCTCTGTGATGTTTGTCAGAATATTAACCCAGCCCTGTGATGTTTGTCAGGTTATTAACCCAACTCTGGGATGTTTGTCAGAATATTAACCCAGCTCTGGGATGTTTGTCAGAATATTATCCCAGCTCTGTGATGTTTGTCAGAATATTAACCCAGCTCTGTGATGTTTGTCAGAATATTAACCCAGCCCTGTGATGTTTGTCAGGTTATTAACCCAGCTCTGGGATGTTTGTCAGAATATTAACCCAGCTCTGTGATGTTTGTCAGAATATTAACCCAGCTCTGTGATGTTTGTCAGAATATTAACCCAGCCCTGTGATGTTTGTCAGAATATTAACCCAGCTCTGTGATGTTTGTCAGAATATTAACCCAGCTCTGGGATGTTTGTCAGAATATTAACCCAGCTCTGTGATGTTTGTCAGAATATTAACCCAGCTCTGTGATGTTTGTCAGAATATTAACCCAGCTCTGGGATGTTTGTCATAATATTAACCCAGCTCTGGGATGTTTGTCAGAATATTAACCCAGCTCTGGGATGTTTGTCATAATATTAACCCAGCTCTGGGATGTTTGTTTGAATGTTAACCCAACTCAGGTATATGTTAGTTTGTTAAACATATTAATCCAGCTTTGGGATATGTTAATTTATCAGAAATGGTAGCCTGCTTCTGGGATATTTTAATCTTGTCATAAATATTAGCCCTCCTCTGGGATATGTTAGTACAGTGGTACCTCAGCTTACGAATTTAATCCATTCCCAGAGACGGCTCGTAAGCCGAATATTAGTAAACTGAAACAAATTTTCCCGGTAAGAAATAATGGAAATTGAATTAATCCGTTCCAGACTCCCCAAAAAATTTACTTCAAAGTAAATTTTATACCTAATTCACCAAAATCTTCAGTACTAATGTACAAGTTATTACCTATACTGATAACTCTTGTTGACTTCTCTGGGGTACACACTCTCTGGCACGTTTTGCTTGCATTCTATTAGGACCTGCTTTTGGCTCACAGCTTGCTTGTCTTACTAAGAATCTGTCTAAATACACTTGTTTTTCTCTACATTTTAACACTTGTCTGTAGTAAGACATCACATTGTCATTTAAGCACTGGGCTGTTCGGCCTCCAAATATGGCACCGTGCGTAGGAAATAAATGCTCGTGAATTTTTTATTTATTTTTAATCTGTTAAAAACCCTTCCCTGATTACAGAAATGTAAAAATAAACTCAAAATTGTATTTACTTTGGCCTCAATGGGATCCTCAAAATGGCCTGTAACATCATCAATTGGGGGTCACCCGCCAGGTTCAAGATGCGCCAGTTGCCACAAATATATTTTTGTTCATTTTTTGCACACAGTTCCAAATACATTTGTTTTGTTTTTTCCTGCCAATCCTATGTATAATTAACACGTACACAATTTTATGGTAGAACATCCGTACTATCCCAAGACACTGTTACATGCATCACACATGTGTTCACATATATTGCTCATATATCCAATGTTTCATGTTCATTTATTTATATTTACTCACTGTACACTGTCACACACTATATTCACTCACCATCAACACACTCAGAACTCCGAGAGTGTGAGCTGCCACACCCAGCCAGTCCTCCCTCACTCCTCCAACATCACACTCACCATCATTCCTCCTTCCACCATACTGTTATTCTTTTTATTACACTATTTACACATGTTATGTATACCTATCTACATGTTTTGTTCACCATAACTATACAACTAAGCTGGTATTGTGTCGAAACGGCACAGTGGTCGCCATACACTACATGACAATTGACAATTGTCACACAGCAGACGACCATGCTGAAGTGCAAGGATAAATATAAGACGCTTGACGTGGCCAAAGGAGTTAGCAAGCTCACCAGCAAACGTCCAAAACTCCTGGAAGATGTGGAACGGCTACTGCTGGTGTGGATGAATGAACGACAATTGCATAGCGATTGTGTCTCTGAAGCTATCGTTTGCGCTAAGGCTAGGATGCTGTATGTGGACCTTGTCAGGAAGATACCAGGTGCGTCGTCTGAAGATGAGGAGGTATTTAGGGCAAGCCGTGGCTGGTTTGAGAACTTTAAGAAAAGGAGTGGTATACACAGTGTTGTGCGACATGAGGAGGCTGCCAGCTCTGATAAAGGTGCTGCTGAGGCTTTTGTGCCAGAGTTCCAGAAATTTGTTGATCAGGAGCAGTTTCTGCCACAACAAGTTTTCAATTGTGACGAGACCGGCCTTTTTTTGGAAAAAACTGACGAAGAGGACCTACATCACGCAAGAGGAACAATCATTGCCTGGCCACAAACCGATGAAGGATCGCCTTACTCTCGTGCTCTGCGCCAATGCAAGTGGCGATTGCAAGGTCAAGCCGCTGCTCGTCTATCACTCAGAAAATCCACATGTGTTCAAGGCGTTTAAGGTTCACAAGACACGGCTGAATGTGATGTGGAGGTCGAACAAGAGGTCCTGGGTCACGCAGATCTTCTTTAGTGAGTGGGTAAATGACGTTTTCGGCCCCACAGTGAGAAATTATCTTGTCGACAAGCAGTTACCACTCAAGGCCTTGCTTGTGCTCGATAATGCACCTGCGCATCCTCGCCAACTGCAAGATGATCTGTTCCCTGAAAATCAGTTTATCACCATCAAGTTTCTTCCTCCAAACACCACGCCACTCCTCCAACCCATGGATCAGCAGGTCATTGCTAACTTTAAGAAGCTCTATATGAAGGCCTTGTTGGAGAGATGTGTTCATGTGATTGACACCACAGAGCTGACCCTCAGACAATTCTGGAAGGAGCAGTTCAATATCATGGGGGCCTTGCGTTTGATAGATAAGGCCTGGGAAGGGGTGTCACGGAGAACCCTACACTCTGCATGGCGAAACCTGTGGCCTGAGGGTGTCCCTGAGCGAGACTTCAAAGGTTTCGGTCCTGCACCTGCATCTGCATCCGCACCTGTGGATGACCCGGAGGCTCTTTTAGTGGATGATATTGTCGCTCTTGGACACACACTGGGTCTGGAGGTGGATGCCGCTGATGTGCAGGAGTTGGTGGAGGAGCACAGTGATGAACTGACCACCGAGGAACTCCTGGAACTGCAGAAAGAGCTGGTGCAACAGGAGGTACAGGAGCTCTCATCGGGGGAGGAGGAGGTCTGCGAGGATGCTATCCCATCTAGTGAGATCAGGGATGTGCTGGGCATGTTCGAAAAGGTGACAGCATTTGCGGAAAAGCATCACCCTGATAAGGCGGTGACAACACGGTGCGTGAACCTGTTTAATGACAATGTGCTGTCTCGATTTAGGGACATCCTCAAACGAAGACAACAGCAAGTGACACGCGATATGGTCAGTGGACAGGGTGGGAAGAGACGTGCTAGTGATATTGAACCACAACCCGGTCCTAGTGGGGTTAAATTCCCAAAGAGAGCGAGCCCGCCTGACCCAGAGGTGGTGTCACCCTCCTCCCCATAAGCCCTCTCCTCCCTCCCTCCCTCCCGATCGGCTCCCTCAAGCCAGCAACGACTTTTCATAAGGTTAAGTGAATATACACATGGAAACAGTCAAACAAACATTTATTTAACATGTACAGTATAATATTACCAGTGTATAATGTCATATTGTTGTTTTAGGGGGTGGAACGGATTATTTGTATTTACATTGTTTTGGGTGGGGAAAATTGTTTTGCATGACACCGGTTTCACAAGACGGCGGCGGCGTTGGAACGGATTAAATTCGTTATGCGAGGTACCACTGTATTTGTACCTTCGTGGTGTATCTGCTGTTTGTGGTGTGGTGGCTAGGTGTAATTAGTGTACTAGGGCTGCATGGGCATAACCCTTAAGCTGCACAAAACTTTATATGAAGTGAGACATTGAACTCGGTTTTTAAAATTTGCTGAAACTCTTTCAAATGTTTTTTGCATAATATACTAGGCAAATGCTCCACCTTTGTCTAAATAATACAAGTGTAACTTGAAAAGCAAGAAAAATACAAAATAATTATAAAATTGAATATTGAAAACTTCAAAATTTGAAATCGGCTGCAAAATATAAAATATCACCAGTTGTTCATTTGGTGTTGTTATGCTCTCACAATAACATATGATCTTCATTTTCATATATTTAGAATATAGGTTTTCAGTATAGTTTACTGTAAAAAAAAAAATTGTCAATATAGCATTTGAAATATGCGCAAATTTAGACAACAAATTTTTTTAACTCCAAACGTTTAGAGTTTATGAAAAATCAATTCTATAGGGATTGTAGAACAGACAGCTGTGCACACTATATTTAAAAATAGTGAGAATTGATCAGAAACTAGATTTTTGGATACTGAAGTAAGTTGAAATTCTAGTTATAGATATAATTGAAGTTGAAGTTATCGACAATGAATAAGACAGTTTTAAGTCTTGAATTTACTTGTATGTTTTAATAAACATTGTTTGGCATTCGTACTCGAATATGTGAAAGTTGTAGGTCAATATGTGTTGAAATGAAGTCAAGAAAAAATACCTCCCCCCCCCCAAAAAACAACAACAAAATATAGGGATAATTGTAATGATTTAGGGGATATATTTATGGTATACTATATATAAGTAAAAAATCCCTAATCTGGTCCCTAATCGTCAAAACAACCTAAAAAAATAAGGAAAATAGAGTTTGAAATTTGTGAAAAAAAAATCAGTCAACAAAAATTCAAATTTCCAAGTTGTGAGAGTTGTGAGTGATTTATTTGTTGACCAATATAATTGTGTCTTCACATAATTAGGGACGGGTAAGCACTCTGCACCATGTAAACGTTACAACAAATTCAAATAATAAACAAAGAAGAAAAAACTAAAAACCTAAAAAAAAAATTCCCCTAAAAAAAATATTTTTTGGGCATTGATGAAAGTAAGTGATAATAAGATTGGTCAATGTATTTATATGATATATAGCAAAATAGAGCATAATAAGATAGTTACTCATTATTATTTATGTTATTATGTGTTAGTGAGCAATGCTATAAACGCACCAGCTGCATATCCACTTTGTGAACACTTCTTACTACTATTATTCTTCTTTATGTGTGGGACAGGTGCTTGCATCTCTTTATTATTGTATTATCCATCACTTCCAGTTAACAGCAGCTCTTCTCCTTATCAACATCAATGTTTCACAATGCTGAAGCCAATAAGTTGGTGATTTGTTTAACATTTTTAAGTAATTTTTACATAATTTGAATATTTTTTGCTTCCCTGCCCCCTTATGCTGGGCAGTTTAACCCCTAAGCTTCTCTGGGTTATTTGGCTTTCAACACCCACAGGTGGAAAAAAATAAAAAAAATAAAAAATAAAAATTATTTTGTCTTATTAAAGTGTTCATTTGTGTTCCCTGATCATGGGAGAAAATAATAAAAAAATCGTAAGTGGCACATTTTGGCTGCAATAGGGCGGGAAAGTCTGTCAAAAAACCAGCGTTGAATGTAATGAAACGCCATTTTCTGGGTGAGTCCCGGAGGCTCCCCGGAGCTATCCCAGGCTGATATGCTAATGTCACACTTTAGCATCAGTCATGTGTATGGAGTTCTTAGGCCTACCGGGGACCACGGCCAGAACCGGGCCCCCTCAGAGAGGCAAGGGGAGCAATGGCCTATAGAAGCCCCCGTGCGGTTGGAAGCATTCTATGTCTGCCATCGACCGGAACAGGCACCCAGAAAGGTAAGCACCTCAAAACAAACCCCTATTCTGGTTAAAATTGCTACCAAAAGCCGAACTAGTGGATAGAACTCCCCAACTGAAAACAAGCAAACTAGTGTAACGTCACACACCGCCGCGCCACTGTCTGTGCAGCTCCCCCCTCCCCGGGAGGGGGAAGGGGGAGCCCCAGACCCCCCACGCCGGCTACCCACACCTCAGTTCTTGAGGCTGGATGTCAAAAACGCAAAAAATCGCCGACTGGAGGGAGGGAGGAATGCCGGGGAGCCTCCGGGACTCTCCCAGAAAATGGCGTTTCATTACATTCAATGCTGGTTTTCTGGGGGGAACCCCGTCGGCTCCCCGGAGCTAACTACCCACAGACAGAAAAAAGAGGGACTTACCTGGGAGGCGGTCGTCGCTCACACTTCAACTCGAAGCCGAGACAACTGGCTGCAACCGCCGACCCAAAGCAATACAGGCCCGACGGTGCCCAGGGACATTCACAAGGTAACGAGCAGCCAGGACCCAGTTCGACCGCCAAAATCCCCGCGCCCGAATATCAGACCAAGACATATTCCCAAAGACGGCAGCAAGAGCCGCAAACTTACGAACGTCATGGGCACGGGGATAGACCGCAGGCTGGCTGGACTTAATAACCCTGCGGACGACCTGGGAGACCCGAACCCGCGAACAGGGAAGAAGGGAAACCGGATCAACCCACAGCGCATCCCCGGACACAGAAGCTGTGGCGTGCAAATAACGGCGAAGCGCCGCAACCGGACACAAAACATGATGCACCCCCGGCCCGACCAACCAAGCATCAACCACCTACGGACCCCTCCGGAACGCAGCAGTCTCATTCTTCACCAGAAAAGAAGGAGACGGCTGCAAACGAACAAAACAATCACCACGACCAAAAGAGCAGAAACCCCTGCGCCGGAGGAGAGCATGAAGCTCCCCTACCCGACCCCCAGAGGCCAAAGCCAACAAGAGAAGTGCCTTGGAAAAATAATCCTGGACCGAAGGGGCCACAACGAAATGAGGAGACGAAAGGAAAGCGAGCACTCTGTCCAAAGACCAGGGCGGCTCAGGCAATGCATGAGCAGGTCGGAGGTGAAACAATGCACGAGACAGCTTGCGAAACGGCGCAGACATAACATCGATACCGAAAGCAAGCTGAAGCGGCTCCGCCAGCGCCGCACGATACGAAGCGACAGTGTTAGGCATAAGATGACGGTCCTGAAACAACCACGAGAGGAGGACAAGACCACCCGAACAGACAAGGAACTAACACGACGAAGACGCAAAAAGAAACGGAAGGACCGCCAGGAAACTTCATACTGCCGCCGAGAAGAAGCCCTCAGGTGGGACACCAACAAGGAGGCCACCTGATCACCATAGAGATGATGATAGACTCGAGTCAAAAAAAACCATACGCGAAGACTCGAGGAGAAGATCGAACCAGCCACGTGATGTACCGGCCTGATGTGCTGAAAGAGGCGGAGCCACGGGAAAACCCTCGGGTTCGGACACCGAGCAACCAGAGCCTGAAACCAAGGCTGGGCCGGCCACCAAGGGGCCAGAAGGACAACTCTCTCCTGGTAAGTCTCTAAGCGAGTCAGGACCTGGAGCAACAGCCGAACCAGGGTAAAGAGGTACAGGGGAAAGAGGTACACCCCCATCTCGACCAGTCTAGCCAAAAGGCATCGACCCCGACGGCCTCGCGATCGGCGTCTTCCCGCATAAACGGGAAGACGCCGCGACCACGCTGACGCGAAGAGGTCCACCTTGGGGTGCCCAAACGTCTGGCAAAGCCAACGGAAGGACTCATCGTCGACCGTCCACTCCGTGGAGAGGGGAACGAAGCGAGACAGGGCGTCGGCCAAGACGTTGGACACGCCCCGTACGTGAACCGCAAAGAGAGCCAAACCCCGAGAACTCAGCAGACGAGTCACCCGAAGCGACCAACCCCAAAGAGACAAGGACCGCATCGAACCCCCGCGGTTCAGGCAATGAACCACCGGAGAGCAGTCCGAATGGAGCCGAATCGTCGATCTGCGGGCCACCCAAATCCTCCCCAAAGCAAACCACACTGCCGCGAACTCCCGCACCGTGCTGTGAGCTCGACGGAAGGACGGATCCCAACGCCCCTGGCCGGCCTGGTGAGCACCGGTCACAAAACCCCAGCCGAGAGACGACGCATCCGTGTACACATCGAGAGAGGGCTCGGGTAGGCGCCAAGGCACTGAACCCCGAAAAACCCGAAGAGAAAGCCGGTGACGCAGCAACCGACGCAAGGCCCCTGGGGGTCGAACTCTGCGATTGCGAGAGAGGCGGAAGGGGGAACCCCGAAGGAACCAGAACAGCCGTCGAAGCCAAACCCGACCTGGCGGGTAGACCACCATTGCGAAGTTCAGGCTCCCGCACAGCCCCTCGAGCAACCGCTGGGTGACCCGAGGGCCCTCCAGAAACAGACGAAGGCGGGACCGCAGCCGCAGGAAAGACTCCGGAGGGAGAGACAAGGAGGAGGTTCGAGAGTCCCAAACGAGACCCAGCCAAGTCCGAGCCTGAGAGGGAACCAGATGGGACTTCCTCCAGTTCACCAAGAACCCGAACTCGGCGAGCTGGGAAAAAACCAAATCCCTGGCTAGCAAGCAAGCTGACTGGCTGGGAGCCCAAACCAGCCAGTCGTCGAGGTAGGCCAACACCCGAACACCTAGGAGACGCAAACGAGCCACCACAACCCGTGCAAGGCGCGTGAACACGCGAGGTGCCAGGTTCAACTCGAATGGGA